AAAAAAAAAACAACTTTGGACTTTCAATTATGAGAACATATTGAACATATTAACTCCAAAGTTCTCGCCTACGTTGAAGAGCTTGAAACCAAAGACCTTTCATAGAAAACTTCAAAAATTTACTCTTCTGGAAATGAGAGAGATGACGACTTAGTTTGTTATACAGAATCTGATTCACTTACGATCATCTAACACAACAATATTTTAGTTGAAATAGCGCCTTATAGTTATTAATTTCGCTTCATTCTACTATACTTTCATGATGTCGCTGTTTCAGTTTTAAATTTGTACATAAAATTTTTTCAATAACTTTTAGACTCATGCTACGGATCAGCGTTAGAAATCTCAACTTCTGCACAAATGAAGAGAGAATTGAAAAGGAATAGAGAAAATGCTACAAAAAATCATAAACCTACATCATGTTTAGGAGAACTGACAGTGGTAGGTTCTGGCTCCAACATGGCGGTACTTACCCCAAATGCATCTGATCTAAATAAGATGAAGATGTGTAATTTCCAAATGATTTGACAAGGGTTAGAGTTCGAAGGTAGTGAAGAAGGAGCTATACCCTTCATTGATCTCTTCTGTTCGTCCTACAAAGTCAGCTGGTCCATCAACATCATCCATCGATGCCGGTTCAAATATATCTGATGTGTTTTCATCTTGACAATATGACACTAAAAGTAACATTTTAGACAAGAATTGTTCTATATAACAACGTAAAAATTAACATTACCCGTAAAATGCGCAGCTAGCACTAGTACGATTAGTAACCTCATGGCGCGACCTCCGGCGCACCGCTGAAATTTTATAATTCATAAGTCACTTCTCTGATATGAATAATGACGCAGAAGAACGGAAGGATAGTGAATACAAAGACGACAAGGTAATCGAATTGTAATGCAAAGAGGAAGGACTAGATCCATATAAAAAGTTCCAATACACTTATACAATGGATTCATCGAAAGGATGAATGGGAAGAAGGTGACATGTACTTCAAGAGGGCCAACAGGCACTAGGAGTAAAGATTAAAATTAGACGTAAATATGAATTGAGTGAACATCAAACGTAAAGTATACAACTTTCATGAGAATGGTTTTCTTTGACGCATTGAAACTGGAAAAGTTAAGAGATCTTTAGATCGTATCGTCTTGCAAATGGTTATAAATAAGATTTTTCAAACTAAGAGGTTAAATAACAATCTCTTGATTTATTTATGTATTACATAAAAATCTTGAGGTTTGCTATTGTCCACTCTGATTATTTCTTTCTCATCTAATATAAATGTTGTTTTACTGGTAATTTCAATTTGTAAGCTGTTATATTTATGTTTGCAACATCATCGAAATTTGCTTTGAGAGCTGGGCTCTCCGATAATTCTGATGATAGAGCTCAGCGAAGCGCTTTCAAGACTTTTATGTTGCAAAGTCTCCAGAGCTAGTTGAAAGGTTTAGAAACGGAATGAACGAATGAAAAAACAGAATCATAATGCGTAAAGGAAACAAGTCTCTTGGAAAAATATGGTAAGAAGCTTTTGCCAACATCGCTAATATTCGGTAATTATTGAGCCTCTAAAAATCCTCGTGTCTTTAGAGATATCAGCGAGATGCAACGAATAAACTAAATTACTCAAATGAGAGTTTTAGCTTTTGAGTTTGAGTAAAAAGAAAGAGAGTAAGAGAGAGTAAATACTTAGCTAAGGAAAGACTCTTCACTGAGATGCGCCTTGTACTATTGAATTAATTGGCTGAAATTGCGTTTTTATAGCTACACAGTTTATTTTTGGAAAACATAAAACCTCGAGACAAACCGAAGAGGCATCGTCCATGTGCAGATCACGCGCAAACGTTATTGCTTGTTGTATAAAAGGTGTTCACACCCAAAATCGCTAAGGACAACTGTTCGACAAAAACTAAAGTGTGCGCTAAATCAACCGATACTGGTCAGAGAGTGATTACGAAATTTAGAAAAACAATAAACATCGTTTCAAACTAGATTTATTCTTGAGATATTCTCAAATACTTGAGTACATTAATTTAATAGGCGAGTGAAACTGCAAATCCGACAGAAGATGGAAATTTAACTCATGATTTCATTGTTGAAGCAAAACGCAGGAAAAACGATGTTTAGTGAGATGTGTGACATAGTTTAAGTGCAAGTATCATATTGCAACATACGTATGGGGCCACGAAATAACATTCACATAATAAACAAAACAGAACATATATAATGGAACATATAGGCTAAGAAGAATAGAACGGCTACTGGTTTTTTGGCAAAATAGTTAAAGTATGTTGTAATACAGGATCAGAGTGACATGTATGGGTGTTGCCAACTTTTCATAGACCGATAGTCGTTGCATAGCGTAGCTCCAGAAAACCAGTTAAACAGAAAACGGCTAGTGATGCGCATAAGAGCTTGTCTAGAGGTGATGGATGCTTTGCGAAGAAGCCTCTGTTAGCATGGGAGTTTCCGGTTTTTTTGCAAGCTTTTAGCAAAAGATACTTTCGAGTAACTTCTCCTAATAAGGGGATTAAGATTGCTCGATGACAGTTTTCCAACATTTTTACTAGAATTCATGTGTGGATCAGCCAAAAAATTGCGGTTATTAGGTGAAAAAATAATAAAAGACAAGACTGCAAAAAGCTTTTTGGTGGCGGAACTTTCCGATACACTCACAAAGTGCAAAAATGAAGTTTGAGAAAGCGCGAGGAATTGGTGAGGGCCATACGGAAATACATTAGGATTCCTGTTCTTTCGCCATATCAAAAGGAATGTGTTAGTCATTACCAATCTCTTCGCCCCCCCTCCTCTTAAGTATAATTTAAGAGTTTAAACTTTGAAAACACAGAGGACGAGACCAGCCTCGACGCTCATTT